TAAAAATAGCCAGGCATGTGGTGGGCACCTATAGTCCCAGCTACTACTCAGGAGGCTGAGGAAAGAGAATCACTTGAGCCCCAAAATTTGAAGTTGCTGCAAGCTATGATGGCACAGCACTCCAGCAAGGGTGACAAAGTGAGACTCTGTTTCAAAAAAAAAAAAAAAAGAACTCAGGAATTCAGTGAAAGTGTTCCATGTTTCCCCCTTGCCATAATGCTATATAAGGTGAGACAGCCAGTACCATCTAATAAATAATAAAAGTACTACTATAATCCTTCTTAGAACTGTGATTTTCCAGAGGTCTTGGTGACTCATACAATGGTAATCATTAATGTTTCCACAGAGGTTCCAAGGCAAATGGAGAGACCTGGCAATCTTCCCTATTAAAACTGCTACCAAGTGAATTACTAAAGACAGCACGTAGATAAAAATGCAGACAGTATGCCTTCTCTCAGACATAAGTGGATTCAAGTTTTAACCACACCAAAACAATTTCGAAGCATTCATTATTACCAACAGTAAGGGTGTCAAATGAGACAGAAGAGATTTAGCAGTACAAAGAGTTTATTCCTAGTGACTCAAGAGCAGCCTATAGGAAATTCTTGATTGAATGAATACTTAATTCCACAATGGCATTGCTGTCCAACAGGAAAACTAAGGGAATTATCAAGACCACTGTTAATCCTAAAACCCTCAAACACTGACAAGCAAGGCGGCTTCAATTCCTCTGAGTAATTCAAACATTCTTTCCCTCTTGGTAAGAAGAAACATTAATTTTTTTCTTTCAACGGGCACAAATAAAAGGGAAACTGCAATTTCCACCGGAAAGAATAAGAGAAGCCAGAAATTAAAACTATTTCAAAAAATATCTGAATCTGCCTGCATGGAACAGGAAGACCTGGGGGAAGAAAAGAAATTTTTTTTTTTTTTTTTGAGACAGAGCCTCAAGCTTTCCCCTGGGTAGAGTACCATGGCATTACAGCTGACAGCAACCTCCAACTCCTGGGCTCAAGCGAGTCTCTTGCCTCCGCCTCCCAAGTAGCTGGGACCACAGGCGCCCGCCACAACGCCCGGCTATTTTTTTTTTTGGTTGCAGCCATCATTGTTGTTTGGCGGGTCCGGGCTGGGGATTCGAACCCACCACCTTAGGTGTACGTGGCTGGCGCCTTAGCTGGTTGAGCTATAGGCGCCGAGCCAAGAAAAGAAATTTTTACAGAGACTTTTCTTTCCTTTCTACACCTATTTGTAGCCTCCACGTTTGAAAAAAATGCACGCATGTTAGACATTATTAGGCTTTTACTATAGCTTTGATAGTTATCAAATATACTGTGGTCATGTGGTAATCAAAGTATTTGTTGTAGGTGTAATTCTCGGAGACAATTAGGTGATCTGGTGAAACATTAAAAAAAAAAAAAGAACAGGATAATAAAACTGGCCAGAATGTAACTTCCAGCCACGATTACCAGTCACATTTTAAAGTTAAAATTACATGGCTCTCCATTAACTTTTCATTAACCATAGACCAGGACTTTCTTAGATGACTCTGGGTCACAAGGTCACACCACAGCAGGAACCATACCTTCAATTCTCTCTCACTAGCAAATCCTTAGACAGAGCTCAAGTTGCAGCATGAGCCAACCCCTATCATCTCCAGGGAATCTATCAACAAAGGTCCAAACAAAGGTTTCAAATATCATCTCCAATTGTCACTAAATATTTCAGATATAGGAAAAATATTTGAGGTTTCCATTTAAAAATTTTCTACTTTGTTGAAAATAAATGTGTCTCAAGGTAAAACAGTCACATAATTCAAAGAAGAAAATCACAGGAAACCTAAAAGTTGGATGTTATCTTCACATTGAAAGATATTAGTGTGGAAAATTCCATCAATGTATTTCATCAAAAATATTAAACACAACCCGAAATCAAAAAAGCAAGAGACATTCACTACCGCTTACAGCAAATGAGTTAAACAGTGACAGAAGTTGCTCTAACATACCTGGGGAGGAGAAGCATTTGGTGACTCATACATTCCCTTTTGATGTTAATTTTTAAAATTAAGAGGTGGTTTCTTTGGGAAGAAAAAGGGGAGGGGAGGACTTTACAAACTCTACCTTTAAACTTCAGGTCCAACAAATCAAAAACCATTTTGCCTCTTAGTCCCAACTTCAGTCAATTCCATTGTTTTTTCCCTCAAAAATCATGAGTCATATTAAGTATCTGGTGCCAGGCACAGTGGCTCACACCTACAATCCAAAACTCTGGGGGGGCCAAGGGGAGAAGATCACTTGAGGCCAGGGGTTAGAGACCAGCCTGAGCAACACAAGAGATCCCATCTCTACAAAAAACAGAAAAATTAGCCGGGCTTGGTGGTGTGCACCTGTAGTTCCAGCCACTCAGGAGGCTGAGGCAGGCCAAGGAGTTGAGGTTGCAGTGCACTAGGATGATGCACGGCATTCCTTCCAGCCCAAGCAACAGAGGAAGAACATGCCTCAATAAATAAATAAATTGGCTCAGCACCTGTAGCTCGGCGGCTAGGACACCAGCCACACACACCGAAGCTCAAGGGTTCAAACCCAGCCTGAGACTGCCAAACAATGACAACTACAATCAAAAAACAGCCGGGGCTTGGCATCTGTAGCACAGTGGTTAATGGCGCCAGCCACATACACCTAAGGTGGTAGGTTCCAATGTGGTAGGTTCCAATGTGGCCTGGGCCAGCTAAACAACAATGACAACTGCAACAAAAAAATAGCTGAGTGTTGTGGTGGGTACCTGTAGTCCCAGCTACTTGGGAGGCTGAGGCAAGAGAATCTCTTAAGCCTAGGAGTTTGAGGTTGCTGTGAGCTGTGACACTACAGCACTCTACAGAGGGTGATGTAGTGAGAATCTGTCTCACGAAAAAAAAAAAAAAAAAGCCGGCGTTGTGGCGGGTGCCTGTGGTCCCGGCTACTTGGGGGGCTGAAGCGATTCTCTTACTTCAGCCCAGGATTTTCAGGTTGCTGTGAGCTGTGATGTCAGAGCACTCTACCAAGGGTGACATAATACAACTGTCTCAAAAAAAATAAAAATTTAAATAAATGAATAAATAATACAATTTATTTTTGAGACAGAGTCTCATTTTATCACCCTCAGTAGGATGAGCCATGGCGTCATAGCTCACAGCAACCTCAAACTCTTGGGCTCAAGCGATTGTCTTGTCTCAGAGAATTTTTAGAGATGGGGATTTGGTCTTGCTCAAGTTGGTCTTGAACCTGTGAGCTCAGGCAATCCACCCTCCTCGGCCTCCCAAGTGCTAGGTGTGAGCCACTGTGCCTGGCCAAAATAAATTTAAAAATTTGATACTGGGCAGTGCCTGTGGCTCAGTGAGTAGGGCACCGGCCCCGTATACCAAGGGTGGCAGATTCAAACCTGGCCCCGGCCAAACTGCAACAAAAAATGGCCAGGCATTGCAGCGGGTGCCTGTAGTCCCAGCTACTTGGGAGGGTGAGGCAAGAGAATCACCTAAGCCCAAGAGCTGGAGGTTGCTGTCAGCTGTGACGCCACTGCACTCTACCAAGGTAGACAAAGTGACCCTGTCGCTTAAAAAAATAAACACTGATACTGACAAAATCTACTACTTTTCATTTAATTAAAACGTATTGAGTATCCACAATTGACCAGGTACCATATAAATTCAACCAGAGATGCTGAATACTGACTTTATCTACTCCAGGGCTTCCACATTTACAGATTTTTTTCTGGACTTGAAAAAAAACGCAGTAAACTAATTTCAAAATATAACTATCAGGTAAATAAAACTTAATGAAAGAGGAAAATGCCCCCAATGCCTCCTTCCTGACAATTTCTTTAATGGTTTAAAATTGTCAGACTAAATCCTTACAAGCCAAATCTTGATTTGCTGTGGTGTGGTTAATTAAATAAAAATCGGAGAATACAGTTAGCGTGCATGATTTAAATCCTCAGACAACGCTAGTTTTTTGTTTGTTT